CCCCCCCCCTTTTTTTTATTCCCCTTTATAGGTGCCTCTTGCAAAATATGAAAAGCGGATCAATGTCTCTTCCAATGTCAGATGTCACTTCCAAACCTTATAAACCTCATTTAGGAGGGGCAGATGTGTTAACTAAGTAAAACACCCTGAAACTGAGAACCTTAATTATGGCTTTTCTATGTGCCAAGAGGAAGCTCTCTCTCTTGCAGGTGGAGGAATGGAACTGGAGGGAAATGAGTGGAAAATAGCTGGAGAGTTCTAGAGTATTTGATGCCTCGTGCCTATTCTAATGGCCCTCACCATTTTTCTTGTGCAGATCACATATTTGAAAAAGTAAATCCTGAAATGGAAAAGCTGGGATATGAGTGCAAGTGCCTGGGAGGAGGGAAAATTGAACACAATAGCAAAGACAAGAAAATTAGGGTATTTGGGCTCTCTACAGTAAGTGCATCTCTTGTATTCCTTCAAATACCTTTGTTTCTGATGTTCTGGGATTTTTATTTTACAGTATGGTGGCTTTTGGCAATTTGAATTACAGTGTAAATGTTAACTGGAAAACTTGCCTGACTTACTTGTGGAATAGGTTAGAAAAACACTAGTTTTAAGGGCAGGAGACCAAAGCAAACATAACAGATAACTTAATGCTGAGTAATGCCAATGTTAAGTGATAATGAAGACTAAAAATGGAAGTTAGTGTCTCTTGACTCAGAGTCTTTTGGCCTTACTGCTAGAGCAGAAATAGCCCATTTGTAGCCATGGGGTCTTGATCCAGCTATTGTGTGATCTTTATTTGCCAATAAAAATGTTGCTTGGTAGTGACCAGCTAAATTGTGAATGTTGCTCTGTGTATGTGTTGAGCGAGAAGAGTAGACCCTGTTTATATGTGGTGGATTTTTGGTAGATGAAGATGTATTTTGACATAAAAGCATTTTATGGGAATAAAAGTAACTTCCAAGAATATGGAAACTAGAGCATTTCTGTTACCTGTTACTGCTGTGTGTAAGTTCAGTTTCTTTATGAAAGACTCAGTAAGTGGTAATGATTTCTTGAATTTAGGGAATGTACTATAGTCTGTTTCTGGTGTTGCTCTGGGATGAAGGATAGGTGCTTCTGTAGTAATACTGTGAGTAGAGATTCTAGGCTTCTAACATAGACAAGAAGAAAATAGTTCTATTAGTTAACTTAATTTTTTACAGAAAGTGATGGTTACTTCAAATCTGCCTACCTTAGATGAGCAGTGAAGGTTGGGCCTTGAATGTGTTAAGTGTTTTTAAATGTTAGTGCTGCTTTTGTTCCAAGATGACTCTTGCCACCTGGAATCACTAAAAAAAGGAACTCTCTAGGATTTGTATGGGGTGGGAAGGCACTGTATAATGCTTACTCTATTAAATTCTTGTGATTGTAGGTCCTCATCATAACTGCATTTTTAGATGAGACTTGACACCTGTATTATTAATTCAGCTGTCAATTTAGTGTTAGAGGTGGTGGTCAACACTTGCTCTTGTAATGCAATGTCTATGAAAAATACCTTGTTTCTCTGCTTTTGATACCCTGATGCTTACAGATGAGCACCATGTAAAAGCAGAGTTTTATTCCCATGAGGGCTTCTGTCAGGCAGAGACCTGGAGGTTCAGAAGACCTCAGTAGCAGGTCAGAAGTTAGGAAGTTAATTACATTGGTTTAATGCTTCTCTTTACCTGGAGATTTATTTTCAGACTCTGAAAGAGAACTATCTTGGTATTTTATGAAAACTAGAGAAATAGTCATTGACTGCTTTTGAAGTAGATGCTGTACTGTTATTTGCAAAGCCAGATGGGGTCTTCAAAGTGATTGCCAAGGCAACAGTGATCTGTAGGCCTGTTGCTTTACAACTGATGGTATAAACCTGAAGTATTTCTGTCTTAACTATATTATCTGGTATTTTTGAAAATTTTGCATTTTATAATGCATCAATAATTTTAACCTGTGCAGTTTAAAAGCTGTTTTGCTTAAGCTGTTCTTCTTGAGGCAGAATCAGTGATGAATAAGAGTACATGTTTTGTTTGATAATGCAATCTTGAGCTTTCTTTTTTTTTGGTCTTCTGAGTGAAGTTTCGCATGAAATATTACTGGAAAAAGAAAGTAACCTGTAAATCACAGGTTTTTATCAGTAGACTGTACTGTTGTGTAGTAAAGGCTTTTTGACAGGGGAAAAACTTACTTGTAGTTCTGAAATAAGAAATCAAGATAATGCCAGTCATAGAAAACAATAATGGAAAGGCACTTTCTACCACAACTCCCTTACATTTCAGTGAAAGAGTAACATTGTGATTTAAATGAGGGTTAAAAATCACATAGGTCATCTGACCTTGCCTTAGTTTGGGGTTGCAGTGGCTGAAGAGCACAGGTATTTAAAATGATGCCATTACCAGCTAAGGCAAGATTGCAAATAAATGAAATGCAAAGACTCTGATTTCTTTAGTGGCTGGAATAGTACTCAAATGTTCACACATGTGGTGGCTTATTCCCTTTTCCTTCAGCTGAGCCAGATCAGGTGTTTGTATGCTTATACGTTAAAGTGGGTCAATGCACTCTCTGTGGTTTAAAAGAACATTCAATAAATATGGTAGCTGAGGGGTTGGGAACATCTTAACACAAGCTGCCTGCTGGAGAAATCATGATGTGAAATATGCATCCTCTATTACTTGAGATTGCTTGACTTATTTCTCACTTATTTTCTACAACTCGAGTTGGGGGCTAACTGGAGAGGACAATAGAAAAATAAAGCATGATACTGCAAGAATAACTCTTTAGAACCTCTATTTGATTTGTATGTGAACTATTTGAAAGCATCAAATCATAACTGGATAATTTGTGTTGACAAGAACTGAATGGTTCTGTAGACGTACTTTATCTAAGAAGTGTTTATTCTTTCTTGCAGGGCTATGGAAAAGCAGATCATTCGGTGACCGTAGAGATACTGAAAAAAGTGTATACAGATTATGAAATTACATGGTCAGATGACAAGAAATAAATTGGCCACTTATGAACACAACAAGCACTTCAAAACTGGTAACTGTGAGCTGTACTTTGAAAAATAAAAATTGAATGTGTCTTCTAGGTATGTTACTATAAATCTGGACTCTGCTGTAATTTATAATACAGATACATCCCCAGATACATCTTTTCAGATCATTCCTTTGTGCAGAATCTGCAGTTCTAAGCCTTTTTCCTCTCCTTTTGACATGCCATCTAATTAAACAGTCCTACATCACCTTACCTCCATTTCATTTTCATCCAGTCCTGTCTTACTGACAGATTGTAGGATACACCAGAATTTTGCCATCAGCTTAAACACCACAGGACCAATTCCCTGGTCTTTTGACAGCAGTGTTTTTGGTTTCCTTTGTTTTCTATTGCTCTTCAGGCTTTTCAGCTTTCTTATCCACATTTACAAAAATAGGGAGGTAGGAGAGGGTTGATGAGGGGAAATGGTCTGAAGTTGTGCCAGGGCAGGTTTAGGTTAGACATTAGGAAAAATTTCTTCACAGAAGGGGTTGTCAGACACTGGAGTGGGCTGCCCAGGGAAGTTGTCGAGTCCCCATCCCTGGAGGTATTTAAAAGACGTGCAGACGAGGTGCTTAGGGACATGGTTTGGTGGTGGGATAGCAGGGTTAGGTTAACGGTTGGACCTGATGATCTTAAAGATCTTTTCCAACCTAAAAGACTCTATGATTTTAGGACTGTTACAGTTATTCACCAATGGTCTAAATATTCAGTTTGCTCCATGGTTTTGAAAATTCAGTATTTTGTTCCATGCAAGTAATGATCAAGATCGTTTGTGTTCCTGTAAGATCCTTCCCTATAGAGGACTGATGGCAATGTCAAATTCTGACAATACTTGTTTCATTCTGATTCCCTTGTACTTCTTTTATTCCCCATGAGTATAATGATGCTTCTTACTCTTTTTTGTAGTAACAATTATCTTATAGTTACCTACCTCCCAGCCAGACCCAGTACACCTAGGCAGTGTCTGAATTAACTTACAGCACCTGCTTCCTCCTGTTGTGGCAGGATGTTGCCTTTTATTTGTTGTGAAGTTCCTTGCTACAATTTTCACTTTTTTGTTTCCTGCCAGTCTTTCTTTAATGCTGTCATGGATTTCAAGGGAGTACCACTTGTTCTTCTGCTTATATTGTTGACTTGCAGTCTTCAAGAGGTATTTGTATATAAATCCTGGTTCTTCCCTTTGCTGTGGCCCCTATTGTGCTTATCTACCAGTATGGTAGCATAGAGTGGCTTTTTCTTTTCAATATACATGTGACTCTTAAAGTACAAACTATGGAATTTGAGAGGCATCAGTCCAGTTTCTATCACAAAAAAAAATCCTGCTGTTACTGCTGTACACCAATTATCTGTCTTTTGTCACCCTTCTGTATTTTTGGTTGCTTGGGCAGAAAGGGATTTGCTGTTCTCATCCTCAAACCTTTCACTCCATTCCTCACTAGAAGAGTTCCAGGTATCTCCATACCCATGAACACCTGGGAACAGGATCACTTGAACCTGGTGCTGCAGGTCTCTTGGTTGACACCTGCTTTCCCCCCCCGCCCCCTCCCAGCCTGGACTTTCCCCTCCAGCACCTCTGTGCGCTTTTGCATCTGCTGCTTGTGCTTCTCTCTATGCTCTTGTGCAGGAGTCTTCTGGCTGCACCACTTCAAATGCCATGATAACATTGATTGCAGGTTTGGTTTTTCTTAACAAGATTTTGATTTCAGACCATGATTAAGTGCCTGTGTACTTAGTAACCAAGAATAGCACGTAAGTCAATAACTTGCAAATTGGCCACTTCCCACTTTGATTTTCCTCATGGCTTTTTTCCCCTAAGCTGTAGTAAAATAACTGTAACGGATGCCATTTAATTGGTGCTGGCATAGAAAACTTTTTTTAATATCCTCATTTCCCGTAACTAGCAAATAGTCTTCAAAGCGAAGTTATCAGTTAAGGATAGTGCCTGTTAAAACAAACATTTTTAAATTAGTTTTCTGCGATGTTTTATGACTGATTGTAATGTTTCTCTCCACAATAGTTACAGGAAAGACACAATTTAGACCGGATTTCTTATTGTGATGACTCTCAGAAAGTGAGGGGATGGGGCGAGGGGAAAAAAGAGGTGATGATTTGGAATGAGCTGATAAATTGAGTTACCAGCTGACATTTGTTTCTTCATATAAGAAATTGGGCCTGATGTAAGGGTTTGTCATTAAAAAAAAATACTTCAAGGGTCCTCCCAGTTCTGTTACTTTTCTAGTGCATTCGGGGAAATGCTAATTTCCCTGGCTATTAAGTAATATGTACAAGTATTACAAGTGAGTGAAAGATTTTTATTCCAGATCAGGAAGAAAAGCAGGAAACTGGTCACTAGGGTGGTGATGATTTGGCAGGTAAAGAAAGCCTTAATATAGATTAGGGAAACTAGTGTTATTCGATGTTGAAACACCAACAGAACAACCAGCCTACAAAACTAAGTGTTGATTTCTGCTTCCTCTCAGCATGTATCTGCTGAATTTTAAGAATAGAAAAGAACTCATCTGGAATTATGGAAATCCCAATGTGGATTTTACTGATTTCACCTGAGAAAAAACATTCTTTATTCATTCTCATTGGTAATTCTGAAATGGGAAATTACACTGTGTGGGATTTCTAGTTTTGCATGTGTGCAATCACTGAGATCGTGGCTCTAGCAGTCTTCACTTGAAAGTCCTAAAAAAAAACCCCTGACTCTGTATTTGCACAAAAACAGAGCTATGTTTGAGCAATCCAAGCATAAAATGAGGATGCTGAGCAAAGGAGTAGCATATTAAACCCAAGATGGCGAGTTTGATTGTGGAATATTTTCAGGAGGAAGGATTATGGTAGAACATTGTGAACACCACCTTTATTCATCAAAAAACCCCACAAGATTCTTAGCCATATTCATTGTCATAGCGATCACTATTTCTTACTACTTCAGGTACTCTTCCCTGAAGCAGGTGTGGAACAAGCTTTCCTACCCGTAGCAGGTGTAGAACAAGCTTTTCAGTCATTATGTGTAAGCCACAATTTGTCTTACGACTGAGGTTTGGAAAATGGCAAGTGGTAGTCACTTTGTTTCCAACTTCCCAGTTTTGATAAAGAACAACTGTTAACAGTACTTCATTGATCTGCCAAAGCAAAAACTTCCTTTTCCTCCTCGATCTGTAGTCAGCAGTTGTCTGTCATCAGAAAGTTTCAGAGTTGATGCAGAAAAATTCCAAAGCGCAATCATAGCCACGGCACAACTGACTGCTTTTTTTTCCCCCTCTACTATAGAAGAGCAACTTCAGTACTTTCCAAAGCATCCCGTTAGTCTACTTACAATTGTTTTTGAAACAACAGGAGTTAAGGCTCTTCTGTGAAGTACAGGAAATCCTCTATGAGTCTTATCTTAATAGCAACATGGTCAAAATAGGAACCTTGCAGTTCCACAGCCTTCAATGACGGGAACTTTAGATAATAAAGTGATTTAGGTCACTGCTGCAGTAAGTTTCTTTCCATCCCCTCAGACTATTGTCCTTTCTCTCCTACATGGAGTATCCTTGCATCCAGTTTACTGCGGTGGTTGACTGTCTGTATATTTCTGCAAGGGCACCCAATAAAGCAGCACATAAGCAGTAACTTTGATGTACCTGTTAAGAGTTATGTAGTAGCTTTTTGCCAGTTTTTTTTAAGACAGAACACACAATGGACTTTTTGTGTGTGAACTGTTGGTGACACCAAGCACTCAGAACCAGGTTTTATAGTTCTTTGGGGTTGTTTGCATATTTGGTAAGGTAATTTCTTCAGCAACAGGAGTGACTTGTACACAGGCTTTTCTGAATGCATGCTGCCCTGCCAAACTGCTGAAAAGACTGAAGAGGTGTGAGTGTCCGGCAGTACCCCCCTGCAAGTTTTGAAAATGGGTCACAGTGTACGGGCAGTTCAATTTCTTGAAAAATTAAAAAAAGAAAAAACCTGCAAACCACCCACCCAGTACAGCACTCTAGGTGGCAATCCGCTGTAACAGCGCAGTTTCTCTCCTTTCCCACTTGTCACCTAAAGCTCAGTTCTGTCATCCTCCAGTTCCCTGCACTGCGTTTGTAGGTTTACTGGTTGTCTGTTTTAAGGAACTTCTCTTGCATAGAATCTTCTTTCAACTCTGCTTCTAAAACAGAAATCACTTTTATTCATCTCTAAAACCACCGCTATGGCTATTTCCGATCACTTGCTGAAATTTTCTTAAGAGTGAAATGTCAAAATCTGAATGTGAAAATTTATAGACCACACTAGTAAATATTCTCCAGTATGCTTTTTCAAAGGCTTGAATAAGTCGTGTGCATTACATATGGAAACATTACAAAGATGTGTGAGATCGCTAGCGGGACAGAACGCAGGTGATAAACACAATCGCATCCCCCTCTGGTGGCAAAGCAGCAGAGCACACGGGTGTGTGCTCCCTTCTGAAATCTGCTGCTGCAGTTACAGCTGTATCTGAGCTGTGAGCATAACCCCTGAGAACCGCTTCCTGCGCAGTACTTGTTAGGATGCTAAATGATCTCATTCAGGCTGCGCTCAGCAGCCGCTCCTGTGACATACAGTTCTGGCACTGCCAAAGAATGTGAGAGGAGGACTGGGGACAGTGACTTGCTTCACTTTTAAATACATATACGTGACAATTATTTGGCATGAACAGATGGCGGTATAAGCAGAGCTCCATTTTTCTATGCATAAACCAGAATCAGAAGAGTCCTTCTGTTCTAGTCAGACAGCAGAATTTGTCAAACAGCATGATTTGTCAAACATTTCAGTAACAAGCACCCTTAATTTGTCAAACCAGAATAACTCAACAGAGGAGAAAGCAGAGAGGTACAAGGATTAAAACATTTTGTCTTTAAGATATTTTTGAAGGACCAGTGGTTGAATTTTAACTGGAATCTTTAAAGGACATTTCCATAATACATCGGTGCAGTCCTTTGTCAATTACTTTAACTATGCTGGTCTTAAACACATTTCTCTCTACAATGAATTTCTCAAAGAGGTAGATACCACCACCAACCCCAAAATAATGTGCTTTGCTTGCCAAATACACGCGGCCGTTTTTATCCAAGAGCCGAGCCAGCGTATCATGCAAAGCACTGTAGTAGTCAGGATTATAGATGGTCTCGGATGTGAGAATCATATCATACTTTGAAAAGGGCTTGTTGCTGCTTAACAGGAGCTGGCTGACTTCAGACCACTCTCCTGAAAAAAATCTGCATTTGGTGAGCGCATCAGATAAGCACTCGGCTTTCTTGGGTCTCTTTGAAGGAGGCTTGCTAGTTTTTCGGTCACCTCCACTGCCCATCGTACTGCCTTTGTTTAGACAGTTAGCCACCGTGTTAGGCAAGGTTATTTCATCAATCACTGTGCTGTTGTAGTCCTGAAAATGGACTTTTTTGGCTTTACCCCTTAAAGCAACTATTCCCAGCAGTCCAGCCCCGCAGCCGAGATCCAGTACAGTCTTGTTGGTAAACTGTATTTCAGCCTCGGAAAAGTAGTCTAGGAGATCAAAGGTGCACTCCCAGATTTTCAGTCCTCCCTCATAGACTCCTGGGATGAGATCGGAGTGAGCAGAAACACTTTTAGACACGATGCCTTCCCTATCGGCGCCGTCCAAACACATCCTTTCCACCACAGACATTTTTACGTAATACAGGTCTGACACTTTTTCCATGACTTTATTTTCCAACATTTTGTCGAGGTCATCGGGAATATTGTGCTCCTTGGCAGGTTTAAAGCAGATTTTTTTCTCTGACAGTGCCTCATCCTGTTGCTTATCAGTACCGAGCCTTGGGCTGGAGTCTCTGACGCTGCCAGCAGTTTGCTTCCCCTTTTCCGTGGATTCCTGCTTGTGTTTTGGAGAGCACAGCTGTACGTCCGCCTTATCACAGGTATCCGATTCATTGCTCTCACTTTCATCAATAGAAAAATTAAATCGAAAAGCCATTTTCAGGAATAAAAAGTAAAAAAAAAAAAAGACCCTCTCGGCTTAATTTATTACACCTCAGAGCAATACTGGTACAAAGGCGTTTTTCTTCTGTTTTTTGGTTTTGTTTTGTTTGTTTTTTTTAACAGAGGATGTTTTTACGCTATGGGGAAGGGTGCTTTGCAGGTAGAATATCGGTTGTTTTGCCAATGAATCGGGTGAATTAGTTCTGGAAATGGAAGAATTTTACGTGTTATTAAACTGCCAAAGACGAGCACAAACACACCAAGTGCAGCATCCCAATTTGCATTAAAAAAACAAAAAAACAAAACTTCTAAACATTTAAATTTCTGAAAAAGAGCGCGCCTCTCGCGCAATGCGGGTACGCGCAGGGACATCGCCTCACCCCGGCCAAACTCCCGCTTCAGGCGTTTCAAGCGACGCAACGACAACGCGCGCGGCGGCCGTTAAAGGCCCAGTTTCCCATCCCCCCACCCCG